AAGTCACACTAGGGAGTTGGACACCTAGTCAGTTACACGAGCAACGCGCTGGGTGTTACTCCTTCCTGCCAGCTCTGCTTGCAGAAGGATATATGCTTAAGAAACTCAGCCAGAAAGAAATCCAGTGAAAATGAGCTATGAAACTTGGACATCCTGGAGAAATAATATTTACAGAGGAAACTCTTGAGACGAACTCTCAACAGTGCCACAGCCCTGGTGTTGGGGCTCAGGGCCGAGGACTGAGTCGTGTGCCAGGCAGCCCTGCTTCATGTTTACCTCCGTGGGGCGTTTACACAGCCAAGACGGGACTCCTCAGACAGCAAAGTCAACCCTACTTAGCCCCACAGAGAGACAAACGGGCACTATTTAAGGCATAGGACAGAAATGGACTAGAGAATGAAAAGCTTTAAAAAAACCTCTTCCTTGGTGATAATGATGTGTCAGTGTAGGTTCATCAGTTATAACAACTGTATCACTCTGGTGGGGGATGATGAGAATGCAGGGGAGAAGGCGTGTGGTAAATTTCTACACCTGCCCCTTATTTTTGCTGTGAACCCCAAACTGCTCAACAAAATAACGTCCGTTTAAGAAGATTTTCCTGGATTACCCAAAAGGACTTGCCCTTTAGGACTCTTGTTGCACCTATAATGCGTCTGACTAAATACCTGCTTATATGGATGGTAGGTGGAGAAAAAAGTCCCAGGCAACTAACATCACTCAATTCTACGGCTATGAAATGGGATCCTGGATGGTCATCTGCCAGCTGGTACACGTCTGACCTTGAACACAAGGGGGACCGAGGAGGGAAGTGAATATGGCTTGATTTGGACCCATCTCCCTGATAACTGGAGCTCAAGGTATTGTACGAAAGAGAGGAAAAAGTAGGATACCTGAAATAGGTGAGCCTGGGTTCTGGTCATGGTTGTGCCCCTGATTATAAGTATGATGTTTGGTAAAACATGCGCTTACCAAACTTCAGTCTCCTTACCCGTGGGACAGAGCCAGCGCCACCTTCCTCCAGGGATGCCATGAAGAGTGATGAAGTCACCTAAACACAGTGAAAATGGCAGTAATCGTACTGGACACTTCCAGGCGTCAGGTCATTAAACCCCACAATTCCACGAAGCAGATACTATCATTACAGATAAGGAAATAGAGGTAAATACCATGCCCAATCATCACGCAGCTAATACACAGCCAAGCCAAAATCTGAATTCACGCAGTTTGCTTCTGGAGCCCAAACTCTTTTGTTGACTCTTTATATCAAGATAGAAACTAGCATGATGCCTGGCACATAGTAGGTAATCAGTAAACGATTATTCCCTTCCTTTGGTCTCTCTTAAATATACAGGATTATGATGGGAAATTGATACAAAATACATTTGAAAGTTCTCTGAAAACCGTGAAGTCCAATGAAAATACAGAGCATTAAAAAAAACTTATTGAGATAAATTCACACACCTTACAATTCACCCATTTAAAGTATGCAATTCAGTGGTTTTTTTACATTCAGAGATTTGTGCAACCATCTCTATAATCAACTTTCATCACCCCCAAAAGAAACCCTATACCTCTTAACCACAGTTTCCCCTTCTCTCTGCAAGCCCCTCCTCAGCCCCTGGCTACCACTAACCTACTTCCTGTCTCTATGGGTTTGCCTACTCTGGACATTTCTTTTAAATGGAATCATACGATATGTGGTCCTTTGCGAGTGGCTTCTTCACTTAGCATGTTTTCAAGGGTCAGCCATGTTTTTGTGAGTGGCTTCTTCACTTAGCATGTTTTCAAGGTTCAGCCATGTTGCAGCATGCATCGGTACTTTGTTCCTTTTTATGGCCAAATAATACTCTGTTGTATACAGCATTGTTATTAAATGTATTTACATGATTCCTAGACTGTTAGAGCTGGAAAAACTCTAGAGACTGAATCCAAACCACTCCCATTTTACTAACAAGGAGACTGTAGCCTGAAGGTTAAACAGCCTAGCCAAGGTCACCCTGCTGGTCAGTGGCAGAGCCCAGCCTTGACCCTTACAACTCTCAACTTGGCCCCATCCTACTTCACTCCACAAAGCATTATTGGAAACAATTCAAAACGCGCAGCTTACTGATGATGGGCCAACAGAATCATCTCTGCAACGATCAGCCTAACATCATTCGTTCAGCAAATGCATACTGTCTGTACCCGGAGCACAGGGCACAATGGGAGGCACTGGAGACTGAAGGAGGAACAGGATAGCTAAGATTCCTGCCCTTTCTCCCAAGTGTGCAGTCCCCTGGGGAGGTAGAAATTAATGAGTAAAGCCCTAAACGATAAAAATAAGTGCACACTGTACAAAATGCCATGAAGGAAACAAACAGGGACCGAGAAAGACAATGATGCAGGGACTAGGGTGGCAGGGGTCCTGGCTGAAAGGACTTGCTGTGCAGAGCGTGGAGGGTCACTTGGGTGGGGAAGCCCTCTCTGAGGAGGGAGTTTTAGGCTGAGGCCAGAAGGAAAAGGACCATCTTTGTGAATATTAGGGGAGAGGAGATACCAGACAGAGGGCAGAGCGTGTGCCAAGAGCCTTAGGCAGGAGGGAGCTCGGGGTGGGGCAATGACTCAGGGAGCAAGTGGTGTGACCTGAGGCTGGAGAGGGGAGGCCTCTGGTCTGTGCTCTCATGCCTACCTCTCAGAGCTAAGCGGAGTTAGCAAGACCGGTGGGAAAGGAGATTGTGGCTTCCGCTTTCCTTCCTGTGAATTAAATAAACGCCACTTGCCAGAGGAGGCCCTGAGTTTCTGTGGATAAGACTTCCAAGGAAAAGAGAACTGCATCTTCAATACGGGTGATGTAACTATGTATCACCCTTAGGATGAATCATAAGATAAGGGAAAAAGAGGGAAATGAGAAAATACAGACATATTAATAAGGAAGTGGTGAAATGATTATGGTACAGCCACATAATGGAACACAATTCAACTGGCAAAAAGAAGGTGACTACTGAAGTGGAAAGATTTCCAGTCAGTTGTTAAGCGAAAAACACAAGGTGTAGAACTGTATGGTATTTCACCATTTGCTTAGGAGAAAAAAAAAAAAAAAGGCAGGAGGGATAACATCTCTCTAGAAGGATATATTCAAAATATGTCTCAGGGGGCTTCCCTGGTGGCGCAGTAGTGGTTGAGAGTCCGCCTGCCGATGCAGGGGACACGGTTTTGTGCCCCGGTCCGGGAAGATCCCACATGCCACGGAGTGGCTGGGCCCGTGAGCCATGGCCGCTGAGCCTGCGCGTCCGGAGCCTGTGCTCCGCAACTGGAGAGGCCACAGCAGTGAGAGGCCCGCGTACCGCAAAAAAAAAAAA